TAAATTGCAGTATCTATACCATAGTTTGTAGACACTATAACGTTCACACAAAGCAATCAATATACACTTATTGGGATTTTTTTACCAAAAACATGGAGCAGAATACATTTTGGCCTAAATTTATAACCAACTTTGAGTTTACTATATATTTTTTATAGCTGAAAGTAAAAAATATAATTTTTCTTCAAAATGTTTGGCCTTTTTTTGTTTATAGCGTGAAAAATAAAAAGCGCACAGGTGATCAAATACCACCACCAAAAGAAAGCTCTATTTGTGTGAAAAAAAGGTCGTAAATTTCGTTTGGGTGCAGCATTGCATGACCGCGCAATTATCAGTTGAATTAGTGCAGCGCCGAGTAGCAAAAAGAGGCCTGGTCATTAAGGGGGGTAAATGCTCTGGAGGTCAAGTGGTTAATTAGTGTCATCTACCTGGCTTTATTGTGTGATGTGTCTGAGTACAATGTAAATCTCAGGACTAAATGGACAGAAATCCTTTGGCAGGTAAAACAATTCCCATATATTGTATATATTTCATCCGCATATTTAGCTGTCTACCTGGAGTTCAGATTTAATACTAATAATAATACATCTGCCTTTCACCAATGGGAACATTATGGCCACTAACAGCACTAACCTTGTTTACAGGACGTCCTGCCTGCAGGAGATAAGATGTCCAGCCACATTTGCTGCACACAGTATAATCTCTGATTATGGGACTAGGTATAAATACAAATATTCTAAAATGCTTAATATGCAATTGCACTTTACAATGGGATTTTACAAGCTCTGCTGGCATACAGTATGAAATATTCGGCGTTCAATGTGTCATGTTTACAAGGTACACAGTGCTTATTTACTGCCTCAACTCTATTACACATCAGGAGGAATGAAATTAACAGATTTGTCCAGCTCAACTGAGTAAACAGTTGGGTAGATGCTCCGGTGTTGAGACCCCCTCCTCAACATATATCTGCTGGAAACATTGTCTTCAGGTTATGTGCAGTAAGAGCCAATTTACATCTTTGTGGGTGTTAATGCCGTTGTTTTAGCCCCAAGCCATTTCTAGCACTTTTTGTTAACATTTTAAAATCAGTATTTTTTGCAGGTAAATGTCTTAGAACCCACAGACATTTTATATATTTTTTAAAAGCAGCGGCCCTAGAAAATAAATTTGTGGTTTTTGCATTTTTTTTAAGTCACACAGTATTTGTGCAGTGGTTTTTCAAATGCAATTTTTGGGAAAAATACACTTTTTTAAAAATATTATTGCAAAAAAAAACACAATACATAATGCAACCATTTTTTTGTGAAATATAAAAGATGTAATTCCAGTAAACAGATACCAAACATGTCATGCTTTAAAATTGTGCATGCCTGTGCAACAGCGACAAACAGAGTAAATGTTACTATTCATAGGCTACTCTTTAAAAGCCTTTACAGGTTACCACTTTAGATTTGCAGAGAAGGTCTAGTGATAGGATTACTGCCCATGATCTGATGATCGCGGGAATATCTCACATGTGTGGGGTAATCACTGTTTCAGTGTGTGTGGGACCATCCTGTGCGTTTGCCTTTGCATGCAAACACGGGGGTGGAGGGAAGGGGCACGTTCATTGAAAAAAAAAAATATATATTATTTTTATTTTTTTTACAGTGTCACCTTAATTCACTTTAATTCACTTCAATCACTTTGATTGCTGTCACAAGAAATGTAAACATCCCCTGTGACAGCAATAGACAGCAATAGACACTTGACAGGGAGGTATCTGGGGTCTATGAGACCCCAAATCCCTCCTCTGCATTTGAAAGCATTCAAAACACCAAGATTGGTGTTTTTGAATGCTTTCTGATTTCTAGAAATGGAGCAGAAGCTTCCGACTAAAGCGAAAGTGATGTCAGGTCATTGCTCCCGGGTTCACAATAAAGGAGTGCCGATCAAAGCTGATTCCAGCTTTGTTCTGCTGTCTGCCCAGCCATCGGATGAACTGGCTGGTTGCTAAGGACTCCCAATGGGACAGGAGATCCTGAGAGAGTGGCAGAAGGCATAACTCCAGTACAACTACGGAAAGTCCAGCGACGTAAGGGTATGTCGCTGGTCAGTCAATCATACCTCCTTTCACACAATTGCAAAACATTTTTGTAATTACCTTTTTTGTGTCCCACACATCTGACTTTCTTGTCTAGGAAAGAATGACATACCACCGCTACTTGCAGCCTAGATACTTATGTCATGCATCTCAGGAGTCTTTGGGGCAATCTACAGCATATGTGCATGTGCCGCTGTGGTGTATCATCAGGGGGCTAGCTGTATCTTTCTGGACCTTGCAGTCAGTCCCCTGATGATGCACCACCATGACATGTGCATTAGACATAAAATATGTAGTGCAGCGCTATAAACAATCATAAAATTGAAAAACACCTATACTGAAATGCATATAAATGGTCAAAGGTATCTGAATAACCAATATTACGTATAATGTGTATATAAGGTGTACAAATGGTGAAAAATAGTGTCCTTAACAGCTGTGAGGTAATTATTATACAAAACACATCCACTAACTCCGTGGTAAGCAGTACTATTGAAAGTCCAATAAGTGATAAAGGTGATGGAGACACAAATAAACTTAGAAAAGGTGACTTGATTAATCCCAGTGACACATGCGATCCGGTGTCGTGCAGGAATAACGGATAAGTTGCACACTCACCAGAGGCGCAATATAAATGCGCATTTACATCATATGTATCAGAGATCCCCTCAATCCTGGGTAGGGTGTAGCCTGGAATGGGTAACTCCTCAGTAGATAATGGTGATGGTACTTCTTTCAGTCCGTCGATGGACTGCTTTTTTCTTGAAAGCGCTCGCTGAACCGTGTTTACTTTATATGTACATTAGACATGTACGTTTTGTTTCATTACATTTTTTGACGAAAATTTCATTTTCAGAGATTCCGATGTATATGAATCTTCAAAGGACATAGTAATGAGTGAATGAATGTCAACACATCCGAAAAAAGTTATAATGAAACTGACGGAAGCATTTGTTTTATTTGGATGATATCACATGATGCAGTAGTAGTTCAGGCCCACGGGGAAATAAATAAAATTTTCAAATTCGTTCGATAATTCGTATTCAGAAAACAAATGGACCTGAATTCCGTTCCATTCGTTAATGTGGCTGCACATTACGTCAGTTGATATTGTCCAATCAGCTCATGCCATTTCTCTTGGTGGGTTGGACTAGCATCCAAAAATATTGAATCCTTCTGATTTGAATCCGTCAAATTCAATAATATAACTAATATATGGCAATCTTCTGGAAAAGCTGAAAAGTTTTTAGAATCCACTCGGACCAATGAATATACAAAACAAATGCTGCAGATACGAAACGAATTCTGAAAACAAATTGATTCAACATAATGAATATGCAAAATGAAAAACGGCAATGAATGAGTGCATCCGAAACAAACCGAAAATTTCCGGTGTGCACATGTCTCATAGGCATATGGAGGGGCATACTTTCTCTTCCTGGTTCTTGCTGCCAAACATGGACATCATCAGGGGTCTGCAAAAACCAGGAGAAGGTAGCCAGCCCCGATGATTTAAGAAAAGACGATGGTGGTACAGGATTGGGTAAGCAGCAGCAAAGCAGAGCAATAGATCATTACAGAACAATCCTGGCTTTGCTGGGCTTTCAAATATGTTTTTTCGTGGCTAACCCAGTGAAAAAGCAGTGCATCATCAAGGGGCCAACTGCAAGAACCAAGACAAACAGGCACACCCTGATGATGCACTGTGGCACGTGCGCATATGCTCTCTCTTCTTCATTCTTGCAGCCACCCCACTGATGGCATGCCTTGGCTCCGGAGCATTATCATGGCTGCAAGATCCAACAAGAGATAAACTGCTCCCAGAGAAGTAAAAAAATAAGATGGCGGCACAGGAACGGATCAGCAGCAAAGCAGAGCAATAGATCACTATAGAACAATCCTGGGTTTAGTGGGCATTCAGGTAAGTTTTATGATGGATAACCCAGTGAAAAAGGTAAGATAGCATTTAAAAACACACACACATAGGGCAGTGATAATCTTCTTTAAGATGCGTTGCACTATGGAAACCTATTGGGTTTGAATGGGCTCTTAACCCATCATCAAGGGTCATGAGGGGGACAGCTGTAAGAACCAGGAAGAGAGACAACCTCCCCCCTGATTGTGCACTGCACATATGCTCTGGCAGGTTGTCTCTTGCTAGTTTTTGCAGCCGGCCCCCTGATGACGTGCCGTGGCACCTAAGCATCATCACGGGCAGCAGCTGCAAAAACCAGGAAAAGATATCCAGCCCCCGATGACATAAAAGAATATGGCAGCACAGGATCAGGTATGCAGCAGCAGAGCAGAGTGGCAGATCTCTACACTGTATTTGCTGGGCATGCAAGTATGTTTTTTGGGAATAACCCTATGAAAAAAGTAAGAGGGGATTTAACAGATGCACATAGGGCAGTGATAATCTTCTTTAACCCCTTGCCCTCCAGAGGATTTACCCGCCTTCCTGACCAGGCCATTTTTTGCGATACGGTGCTGCTTTACTTTAACAATTGATAGTTGAGCGGTCATCGCAACGTTGTACATAAATGGAATTTATGTTCTTTTTTCCCCACAAATAAAACTTTCTTTTGGTGGTATTTGATCACCTCTGCATTTTTGTTTTGTTTTTTTTTTGCTCTATAAACAAAGAAAGACTGACAATTTTGAAAAATAAAACCTATATTTTTGACTTTTTGCTATAAAACATATCCAGTAAAAAAAAAATAAAAAAATCAAGATTCTTCATAAATTTAGGCCAAAATGTATTCTGCTACATGTCTGTTAAAAAAAAATCCCAATTCATGTAAATTAATTGGTTTACGTTAAAGTTATAGCATTTCCAAATGGCGGTATATACGTTGGATTTTGTATATTTTTTTTCTACTAGTAATGGCAGCAATCAGCCACTTATAGCAAGACTGTGGGACTGCGGCAGGCATTCTGACACTGGGTGGGAACTGACTAACTGCCACTGACATCGTAATGACCTCATACAGTGATCAGTGCTAATAAAAAGCACTGACACTGTACTAATGGCACTGGGCAGGAAGGGGTTAAAATCTGGGGCAATCAAAGGGTTAACTGTGTGCTGTGTGTGTTTTACTAGGGAGATATGCTGCTGTGCAGAGAAATACAAAGTTTTATACACAGGTCTCTCCCCTGTCAGCTTTACATGGTGATTGCTGGGTGTCGGCATTGCCATGATCGACTACCGTAGCTGACAATGGTGGCACATGCGCGCCGCCCTACCCGGAAATGCAAATCACGTATATATACATTATTTTGCACAGCCCTGCCGCCCTGTAGCAGTAGTTCTACTACAGTAGGGCAAGCGGTTAAGATGTGTTGCATTAGGGCAAACTTAGGTTTGAATGGGCTCTTAACCCTTTCCAATGCAGGAAAATATTTATCTGCACTATTTTTGGAAACACGGTCTTGTGGTACACTATAGTGAAGGTGCGTTTGGTTTTACTATAAATGTGTATTGGGGTGTTATTCATTATGAACAATCACAATATTCCCAATGCACACATTCCTGGAAATGGCTGTGAAGTGTCAATGAGTTCTGCAGCAACCATTGGCTGGAAAACGTAGACATTTGATGAAGGACATAGTGTATGTCACCAGCACATCAGGGATTCTCTAAATTGGTCCTAAGCTTTATTCATAGGTTACATCATGTTTACAGAGACAACATTTCCGATCAGCGCAGGGCCCCTTCATCATTCATTCATTATAAATGTATTTATACATTTGGAGCTGTGGAGCTAGCCTAAGCCAGTGTCACACTAGCTATCCTGTCACTGAATACAACAGCATCAAAAAACACCCATCTATTTCCAGGCCTTGCTTCCTCAGTGTCCAAAATAGTGAGGTGACTCCCCTTAGTTGTTTGAAAATGGTCTTCCTTGGTAGACAGACGTAGCCCCTAACTGTCCCTCATTTGGAGGTAATGTTCCTCCTTTGAGACCAAATCCCTCTGTCCTTCATGCAACCTCAGTTTCCCTTCTTTTTGGTCTGATGTGAGCATCTCCTTACAAAATGTACTATTGTACTGTTAACCAAAAGTGATATGCTGCAAAAACATTTTATGCAACTTCTATATTACTGCTTTTTAATTTTAAAAAGTAAATATGAAGGTAAAATAGAATTCTAAAAGCATTTATTCTGTTAAGCCAATTATTTTCTGTATATTTGATCTTTGTGGCCCATGTAACCCGGGGCCATAGCATGACCTGGGTAGGGCTGAGGGGACGGATTGATATTGAACATTAAAGCCAAACACATTAAACCTCACAAATAATACAATATGACACAAGTTATTTTCATTGGAGTAATATGGCCACAGCTTTTATGAAATAGCAATAACATGATTTAGACACCAATTTTTCAAAAATCAGAAGAATTCTGATACAATCTTTAAAGCCAGGTCCTTGACAGTGCTACCCAATAACATGTTCTGTTGTAAACCCATGCCGGCCACCAGCCATCTACAACCAGCTCTGTAGGTGCACATCATAATCTTTAGACCACTATTCACCTGGAATAAAATTTAATAAGTACTTCCTTCATGGACAATAAATAACCATACATATTTATGACTATTGAGGTTAAACCACTTGTCCAAACATTGCCAATGATCTTACTTATTGGCACCATCAAGGACCCACCAACGCTGTGAGAACAGTACAATATGCCCCACAAGTCCACCGTTCTCTTTGCATACTTCAGTTCCCCAAACCTATGAACTTTCAATCATCCATACATTTACCAAGAGGGTGGGCAGGTGTACCAAATTGCCCACCACACTGTCTGTTCCTCCTTGAGGTTTCTCAATGCTATGACCACTTCCTCCCTGCTCCCTACATCATATCCTTATACCATTCTCTACCCATCCTAAATCTTTTTCCATCTTTCCAGCTCACCATGTTATGTGGTCTTTCTCCTATGTGCTTAGGGCAGCCCAGAATGTGTCCTTTGCCTATATATTGGGGTGAATTTCCAAAAGGCAAATACACTTTGCACTTTGCAAGTGCAGTTGCTCCAGAGCTTAGTGAATGAGTTGAAGCTTCACTTTACAAAGAATATCCAATCACATACAAGGATTAAAAAAAAAAAACAGAATTTTTCTTCCACGTGATTGGATGATGGAAGTCAGTAGAGCTTCCTCTCATTTACTTAGCTCTGGAGCAACTTTACTTGCATAGTACATGGTCTGTTTTCCTTTAGTGGACCCACCCCATTGTTTTTTCATTTTGAGCATTTCAGAAAGTTGGGAGGTATGGAGAGGAGTTGTTCCGACCAGTAAGGAAGCAATACTATAGAAACAGTTGCTCCAGAGCTTAGTGAATGAGTTGAAGCTTCACTTTACAAAGAATATCCAATCACATACAAGGATTAAAAAAAAAAAAAACAGAATTTTTCTTCCACGTGATTGGATGATGGAAGTCAGTAGAGCTTCCTCTCATTTACTTAGCTCTGGAGCAACTTTACTTGCATAGTACATGGTCTGTTTTCCTTTAGTGGACCCACCCCATTGTTTTTTCATTTTGAGCATTTCAGAAAGTTGGGAGGTATGGAGAGGAGTTGTTCCGACCAGTAAGGAAGCAATACTATAGAAACAGGTCATTTTTTTTTTTTTTTTTAATGAACCAATTAGATGATTTTGCTGTTGGTGAATTGATGCCAGGGACAGGATCACTAGCATGACATTAGCATTACCTTTGACTTTTCAGGCTTCATGTTAATTTAAATATACAGTATGTGTTCCTGCATGCATTTTCATTTGCTCTTTCGTGCTTCAGCATTTATTTTAGTGCACTTCGATGCATGTTTAATGTAGGCAAATGCATTTTTTCACGTAATGAGTTGGGTAAGGATCAAAATTCTCTCTCTCTATTTAACAAAAGGACATTGCATTAACATTAAACTGCATACCGGTATTTTTGCTTGTTACTAATTCTTTGTATGGGTCCAGGGACATACACTACTATGCGTGAAGAGGAAAGCTGGTCTTTTTTACATATGGCTGATATTGCAATGATATTGCAATATCATTTTGATGTAAAGATAGCATATATTTTGCTGCTTTCCGCTAGTGGAAAGCAGTGCTTTAAATGTGTTGAGATGCCAAAAGCTGGTAGGCCCATTCTACGAGTTCCTAATGATCAGTAGTTGTACTTGACTTGTCACCCAACAACTTAGCCTCTGGGAGCACGGATGGAGCATGCCCCAGAATAAGACAACATCATGTATATGCAGGGGTTGGGCATTAAAGCAGAAGAAAATCCTAACACTAATTTTCAATACAATATGTTCCTTTTCCCTGCCTCCTACCTAACTATCTGTGTAAAAATATCTATATAATTATCTTTATTTAATCCAGACTGGTCACATGATCCTGCAAATGTGGCCTATTTGTGTAATGGAGAGCTCAACAACAGCTGTAAATTCTGGGAGCAGTAACACCAGCAATAGGCTCCAATGGTCTAGCCGTTTTTGCCACTCCCTCCTCTCCCCTGCAGCAGCCACTCAATGACACTGGGAGCCGGAGCTGCAGGATAAAGTAATCAAACTGGACCAGATTTTAAAAAAAGGAAGTATACAGATCCTCCTTAGACAGGGTACACAGGATAAGTAGGAGGAGGAGGAAGGGGATGTTTTTAGGAAAAGTTAGTGTTAGGTTGTTTTTCCACATTAGGGCCCATCTGGTCTGCTGCTGCATATACAGTATGTACCTTGCTGTGTGTAAACGGGTTAAATGTTCATGTAGTTCTTTAAAGGATAAGTTCACCTTTGGAACATGCTACATGTTCCACCCGTTTTTAGGGTGGAAGGCAAAGCTGACAGGGGAGAGACCTGTATGTAAACAACACAGGTCTCTCTCCTGTCAGCGTGGACATGCTGTTTTGTGTCTCTCTGCACAGCATGTCTCCCTAGTAAAACTCAACACACAGCACACACAGTAAAACACACACAGCACACAGTTAATCCTTTGTTCACCCCAGATGTTAACCCCTTCCTGCCCAGTGTCATTAGTACAGTGTCAGTGCTTTTAATTAGCACTGATCACTGTATGAATGTCATTGGGATGTCAGTGGCAGTTAGTTCCCACCCAGTGTCAGAATGCCCACCGCAGTCCCGCTATAAGTTGCTGATCACCGCCATTACCAGTATTAAAGAAAAAAAATCCCAGTATATATACCGCCATTTGTAGATGCTATAACATTCGCGTAAACCAATTAATTTAGACATATTGTGATTTCTTTCAGCAAAGACATGTAGTAGAATACATTTTAGCCTAAATTTTTGAAGAAATTAGATTTTTGTAAATTTTTTTATTGAATATGTTTTATAGCAACAAGTCAAAAATATTGGGTTATTTTTCAAAATTGTTGGTCTTTTTTTTGTTTATAGTGCAAAGAATAAAAAAAAGCAGAGGTGATCAAATACCATCGAAAGAAAGCTCCATTTGTGGGAAAAATTACATAAATTTTATTTACGTACAGATTTCATGACCGTGCACGTGTCAGTTAAAATAATCCAGTGCCATATAGCAAAAAAATGGCCTGGTCAGGAAAGGGGTAAATCCTCTAGAGTGGTTAATAGATATTTTTTCAACACAAAAAGTGCTTTTAAAATTATTCACTGAGATTTATTTACAGTAGTGTTTGTAAAACATTGTCCTGTACAACCAAAGCACACATAGTGATATGTGGCCCAATAATAATGCTCAACTAAAAACAAAAAGAAGAGAATGAGATGTAGTAAGAACTACAACAACCAGTACATTCTTCTCATTAAATAGTAAGTAGTAGAGAGCATGTAAGGTCAAGGAAGCACGAGACAGTAGATCAAAAGTACAGAAATATGAAAAATGGAGGGGTAGGAGAGGAGGGTGGGAATATAGAGGATCTGGTCTCCTAATGGATAAACCATAGCAATACTATTAATAGCTGTTGTAAAATACTGACTCATCTAATTCAGGATATTTCAGAGGCCATCATTTATAAATAAGGGGGTGTGAATTTGAAAAACAACCAGCAGGCCCATATTATAGTAAAGACAGAGGGAGATTGGCACTGGTTGTATGTGAGTTGTTCCATTAAGCATATCTAATCAATGTTTTGAAACCATTGCTTCAGCGAAGGAATGGTCTTTTGTTTCCAAAAGGCAGGAATTAATGATTTGGTCACTCTTAAGAAATGTGGCATAATGGATCGTTTATACTGGCTTATTGGTTCTTTTGCATAATGAAAGAGAAGGGTTCAAGGTTCATTGGGCACTGATGAGCCTTGAATAGCCTGTATCAGTTGCAGAACAAAGAACCAGTATGGTTGTATAAGTGGACACTCCCATCCTGTTTGAGCATGCATGGCTATCAGACCACACTCTCTCCAACATGTGGTGGATGTCTCAGAACATCAGGAGGAGCTTGACAGGTGTATGATGCCATCCAGTTAGTAATTTATAATTAACTTCAGCCATTTTTAAAAGAGTGAGAAAATACACGTGCCAGCTGTAAAATGTCTCTCTTATCATCAGCAAGGTTCACCTATCAGTCAAATTCCCGGGGTGATAGAAAGGGTGGATAGGATTTGGTTTTGATATTCAGAAGACGTGATAAAATTGAGAGATTGATGATAGTATGTGTTCAAATGGGTGCAGATCTTTTTGGGATCTCAATGGTTTCAATAGGGTTTTATAAAATTGTGATAGCTGTATATGACACCACTCATCCACCCTCGCAAGAGGACTGCTTGATCTTATGCAATGGTATAATGGCATTATTCTCCAAAACATGATGTAGAAACAATGGCGGATTGTCTGCTCACATTTGAAAATTAACTTCTAAGAGGTAGAAAATACAAATGGCCTAGCAATGGCATCAAAGGTGAGTTGTAGTTCCAGCCATGTTTCTTATGCAAAGAGTCTAAAATAGCTATAGAAAAGATTGTTAAAGGTGATATTTCTGTTGAGAGGTTTCAGAAATGTTTAGGTATCTTTGGGGAAGTTTGGAGTGGCGCACTACTTAAATCATATTCCAGTTTCATCCACAATTTATTCTGACAGGAATATTTCCTTCCAGCTATTCAGTTAAGAATGACAGCATGATATTTTTTTTTTAAAGTCTGCCATTGCTAAACCACCATGGTCTTTGGTTCTAAAAAGAATAGTGTGGGAGATTGTTGGGTGGACCAATTCCTTATATATTAGCCAACCACAGAGTGTAATAAGGAGACAAAAACTTGGATGGACTCCAAAAGGAATCATCTGGAATAGGAATAGAAATCTAAGGAGGACGTTCATTTTTATAACTTGAAAAGTATTAATCCTGCCTAGCCAGGAATGTGACAATGAGGTCCAACATTGCAGATCATGCTTAAGGCGGGCTGCTACTTCACTAAAGGATGCAGTGGACATATAGGCATGTAGCAACATAGACACTCCCATCTGCCCTTATGTTATGAGAAAGCAACTCACATACTTGGTGTGCCATGCTGACATCTATTCTTATCTTTTATAGTTAAAAACCCACATTTGAAGCAGTAGAGCAGAGGCTTTTTTTCCATTTATTTATTTCTATTAAGAAACCTCTAAAAAACCTGGTTCATCGAAGATGCTTTTATCGCATGTAAAGATAGGCTGTAGTGCTATATCATGATATGTTTTACGGGGTTTCTGATCTATGTGTTACCCCACCCCCTGTTCTGTCTGATCTTGCATGTAACATATACTAAGCTATATTATTTTTCCGGCTTGGCTAATACTCGGGGAGGTGACCCAGTTTAACTTTTTATTGCCTATATACGCAACTGTCACTCAACCCATTCACCCCCACCCCCACAATTTTTTTTTTCTGGTTTTTCTCCCACCTATCATCTCAGCCTACATCTCTTTTTCTTGCTGTTCTCCTTTCTGAACTCTCTCCTTTTTCACACCTGGTATACCACCTAATCAGTCATTCTTCACCAACCAAAGAGTGCATTCACCCTCACATAGATAGGACTCACTTCATCTATATTATACACTTAAACTATAAACATGTAAACCATGACTTTAACAACATCTAATGCCTTCCAGGCTCTAATCTTCATATCACCTCATCATTATGCATTGCTGATACTCAAGACAAGACGACATACACATTCAGTGTTGTACCTACTTTCCTCTAAGTATTCAATGGTTTGAATTGCAAGCTTGATGTATTGTTCTACACCACATTGCTTTGTATTATGGTTTACACTAAATCCCGTCCGTGAAACGGAAAGTAATGTTTCATGTCTGTGTTCTGACTGTGCTTTATAGCTGTGTATGCTCTATATGCTATCTTGTCTATTCTTATATTAATAAAATATTTTTGGAAAAAAAAAAAAAAGAAACCTCTAAAGAGGCCCTTGTCAGAGCTGATCATGAAGTTGTCAGCATAAAAATCTCTAACTAAATATATAGAATTTCCCAAATGGAACCCTTTCAAAAGATGCCTGCTGATGCCTATATGCGCTACATGAGCAAGTGTTTGTAGACACTTGACAACCTCACCCATGTGAGCTTCTAGGAAAAACCATCAGCATTGACATGGAGATATCCCACCCATCCACCAGGATTTTGGAGTGTGTCTATGGGAATTTGTAAGGTCAGGTACTGATGTTGGATGAGAAGACCTGACTTGCTGCATTCAAATTAATTCCAAAGACACAACAGGGTCACAACCATTGGTCTCTGTAGGTCACTTGAGCTCCTCAACACCAAGCTTTTCAAACCATGACTTTATAGGCCTGGCTTTGCACGCAGGGTCACAGTCACACTGGAACAGAAACGGACCTTCCCAAAATTGCTGCTACAAGATTGGGAGAACACAATCAACTAAAATGCTTATGTATGCTGTATTGATAATAGTACCCTTCATTGAAAACATTTGAACTCAATAATTTGAAGAGGTGTTCAAATACTCTTGGCCACACAATAGATGCAATGGTCAGGTGTCCAGAAACCATTGGCTGTATACTGTAGTATATGAGTGTTGTGAGAGATTATTATTGAATGGCAAATGAAAGATGTCAGAACCTCAGCATAACAATCCAAAATCACCTTCTGAAGACAGGAATACACAGAAAAATCAGGAAAGAATGTTAGTTGGGTTCTCTCCCATGTTCATATTTAAAATTTAATAAAACATTGTCTCTAGTGATAAGAGTTCAGTTTACAGTTTTGTAAATCTTTTTTGAGGTTCGTGTACTCTGGAGAACCCTTTTAAAATCTTTAGAGGGTGAATCTTGTTATTCAATTCCACCCATTTGGGGGCTGAAAAGTCAGGTATTGTTAAACTAAAGCTTGAAAATTTCATGTGAGATCAAAGCCAAAACTAGACATGTGCATTTCATAGCGAATCGATTTTTGACTGAAAATTAGATTTTCAGCGATTCAGATGTATACAAATCTCCGAATGGACAAAGTAACGAACATCAACGAATCTGAAAAAAGTTAAAGAAATTTACAAATGCATTTGGTTAATTTGGATGGCATCATATTATTCAATAGTAGTTTGGGCCCATGAGGGAAACTAAAATTTCAAATTTGTACAATATTTGGATTTGAGTAAAGTTGTGTAATTTAAATTGAATTTGTAATTGTCACAGTCAGTCCGTTCAGTTCCACAATCTAAAAATTTGGGGCACCGAATTTTGTCTTATTTATTAATTGCATCTGAAAATATCAAATAGTTTTGATATATGAATTATGAATCCACCCGCCAATTGTTTCAGCGAAAATGACTAAACAAAATTCTTCAATGAACAAAGGCATCTGTAACTAAACAAAAATTTCCAGCAAGCATGTCTAGCCAAGACTAAATAAAAAAATAAATAAACTA